GCTTTTATCATTATATCCTCGTATACAATTGTGTGTATTTTACCACTATTTATGCTCACACTACAACTCAAACCTGGTCAAGGCCATAAAGGCTTGTATATACTTACAGCTCTTGCTATATCATCCTTTTTTCCTCCCATATGCCAATTGTTTAACCTATTTCAGTGCATTCATAATGTTTATCTCTTCTAAAGAAACCTGAATTTCTTACTTAGGGTCTGATCATTATACAGCAAATTTGGGCATGTACAGGGGTTTAGGAGATAAGGAGTTAATGCATTTTTTAAATTAAAATATCATTGGATTTATATAGCACAGAATGTCCCTTTAATATAACCGCTCCGGACCTCAAGAGGGAATTAAATTCTTCCTGTGCCCAAAACATCAGTCACATAACTTTAGAAACAATCCTTGCCAAAGATTTATATAACACTCTTAAATATATCCTCTGGATTAGCCAATAAAACTCACGAGCAATTCCACAACCTCCCATGATGTTTAGATATTTCCTTGCGAGTTCATTTATTTCTGCTGTTTTCGAACTTCCAAAATGCTATTTTTTTCTAGTTTAATTAATTTGTTTGCCCTTAATGTCATTTTAGAAGATACTGCAGTGTGTAATAGTAATTAAAAATATCTACGACAGGTCACATAGTATATAATTGATGTCAGGTTAGAAGTTAGGAGGACATCAATTGACACACATTTAAAAATGTACATATATATATATACTACATGGTCAGCATATATAAAACCACCTCCACATGAATGCATAAACTATATATTGCAGAAGTATATCAAATCTTGCGCACGGCTTTCTTAGACCCTTCTAGGTTGTGATTGATCAAGGAGATAGCCTCTACATGCCAAGCTCATCTAGATGAAGCACATGGCTAAGGGTAACATTGATGTCTACTAAATGGCAATTGGCTACTACACAGCATGATGAACTAGAAGAAGAGCCACTTTAAATCTTAATCGCACACAAGCAGACATAGATCGTCCTTTAAAATGACACTGTAGGCATGGTTACTGTATCATTTGATTGTAGTGTCTGAAGTTACCTTGTGCTGTTCTACATTTGGCTTAAAAACAGCTTTTAATGTTAAGTGCTTAATTAACTGCTGTGGCATAAGTTGGCGTTATAAATGCCAATAATAATAGAGCTAAGGAAGAAAGTTGTAGCCTTTCACTACATATTTATCCGACTCTTCTCTTTCCTCAATTCTTGCTTTGTTCTTTTTCCCAGAAGGAAAGACGTGGACAGAGAAAGTGGTAAAACCATGCATTGAATAGTGGTTTAATGTTATAGGTTTCTCTACTGGATGATGTTTGAGTGCTTGGAGTGACAATATGTACTCTGATGTTTTTACATCACGTGGTGATACATTATTCATCTTCCAATCATATATTTTCCAGTTAAAAGGTATTGGTTATTTGTTCAATCCGTGAAGTTCCAATAATAATTACTCCAATTGTAGACATCAATTTCCCTCTGGAAGTCTTTTACATGTTTATCCATTTGTGCAGCACTGACGTCACTTGTTTCAACGGACACTCAACTGTCAGTAAAAAGTCTTATTTTTACATCTAGAGATGAAAAGACTAATATACATTCCTAAGTGTAATCCTTTTTTGTCATCTCCTGACCATAGATGAGAGATACTGGGTTTTACAGGTTTTGCAGTCCTTTCTAGTTCTCTGGTGTAGGTGAGGATTAGTTTTTAAGCTTTTGAGTTCACTAAGTAGAACAAACAAGTTGTTTTCGTGCACCAAAATCTCTTAGCCATTATGTAGTTTATTTTGCATTATGACACATCAGTTTTCTCATAATTGGAAAGTGGAGATTGTCCATGTTGTTATTTCCCACGAACCTTATAGACTTATACAAGAGAAGAAGGAGACCTGTTCATGAGCTAATTTCCTCTTTCAAAATTTGTTCCAATAGATGATGGAGACACAAATGCTTTGTCAATGATTGGCTCAAGGCTGGAGATCTTCTTTTATTCCTGGATTCGTGTTGGACCTTCTTTTCATGTGAGTCTCTGCATTCTTGAAAGAGTGACAGTTACCTGGGCAGACTTTCACTCTTCTCCTTGTTGGGATGCCACTGCTATGGAGTTACAGTGGAGAGCAAAGCAAAAAGCATCAATGTTGCTGGCCATATCCAGATGGACCCTTGATCTGAATCATGGAATTCTGGGCTCTTAGGTTGATGAGCTTACAGTCCAGGGATTTACTGGAATCCATGACTTTCGAATGGAGCAGGAACTAAAGTCAGTTTATGGAGGACAGACTAGTACTCATCATCCAGCTACAATTGGCTGCCAAGTCCACATTATCTAATACAACTAACTCTCTAAATGTTATCCTTCTGCAACACCTGGTAATAAACAGACCTCTTGGTTCATTCAAAACTACTGGAGTCCAGTGAAGTGGGTCCAAGTTGAATTTCTTAAAACTGTGAGATTTACTCACTACTCCGGGAATTAGTAAAGTTTTATTGATGATGTTACCAATTAGCATATGTTCTTTATATAACTATAATTAAAGTCAAATGTTATTATAGTTAAACGAATAAAGCAATGTCAAATTACATCAGAATGGGGTAATAATTTTAACCTTGCACTCTCGGTTTACTGGCAGGAAGTACAATTAAAATGATCTCTTACAGATTGCTGAATGCAGTTTCAAATGTTTAATTTTTGTGTGCCTAAAATAAAATTAAAATATATCATTAGAATTGTATAATAAACACATTTTCCTTATTTTATGTGCACAACAGACACTAGAATCCAGTGTTACTTCTTATATTCCGCTAATTACATTTTGTTTTTTACAAGTTCTTGAATGTACTTAATTTGTAAATCTGTATCTCCCTGTTCCCCTCCACCCCTGCTCTGCAATGGACATTTATCACTTATCAGTGTGACAGGGTGAGATCTCCATTGGTATTTTATCTCTTGTCTGTGGCACTGTTCCATTCAGAGAGGAGACGCCACATGCATACTTGGACATGCTCCCGTCATATAAAAAGGCAATTCTTGCTCACTACACATAGTTGCGAGTAGGATATTTTCTTTGTTTATGTGGATATATATACATATAGTTAATACATTGCTAAACACAAATGCACACACACCAGTCAAGCCATAAGACTTGCTTTGCCCACAGAAATCTCACTTTAACAGTGCTCTCACTACTGCAAGGTATTCTATGTGGGTGTATGCAAATGAGTGGAAGGGTTTTTTATCCACACTTTTTTCCCCAGTACAACTGTTGGTATGTGCTTTACAAGTACTGCCAAGCCTCCATAGCAAGCCAGTAACCAACCTCATACTGATGAGTTGCATTAACAACAAAATGGCTATCCATGAGTGGTTCACTGGCTTTGCTCCCCTTCCTGAGTTGTGTTTTAAAGCTGTTGTACACAGCAGACACATACTCCAAGGAATCCATGTATAAAGTGGAATTATGAGGCAAAAATGTGGTTCTTCACTGTGCCAAAGCGGATCCTCCTGCAACTCCTTGAAACCCTGTGAAGGTGGAGCACGTTCACGTCATGTCTGAATGTGACTTCATGCGTCTCCAGGTCCTCCACTGTCCAGCCATGGCCATCGCATCACTGATCAACTCACACTCACTGACAGACACAAGCACTGACAGACAGACAGACAGACACACACTCACTGACAGACACACACACTCACTAACAGACACACACACTCTGACAGACACACACACTCACTCACTGACAGACACACACACACACTGACAGACACACACACACACACACACACACACACACACACTCACTCACTGACAGACACACTGACAGACACACACACACACTTACTGACAGACACACACACTGACAGACAGACACACACACACATTCTTGCACACACTCAAAAATTATTTTATTTATTACTCCCTACTTCTGGGAGATGGCCTGGGGCCTCTCCCTGGGGTCTCCCTTTCTGCTCCTCATGCGCACAGTTTAGCGATGCTGGGCTGGAATGACTTTATATTCCGGCATCACTAAAGAGGGCGTGCACGAGGGAGCAATGAGGAGAGGAAGACTGAGCTCCCTTGCTGCCATCAGCGACCTTTCCTTCTGGCTGGGTAATTTATAGCAGAGTAGACACCTGCAATGTGGGGAGAGCAGGTGCCTGCTCTGCCTTAACATGTCAAACTCGCGGCTCGCCTGGCCGCAAAGATATTAATTGTGGGCCCGCCAGTTTGACATGCTTGTTCTAAATGTTACATCACTTTATTTGCAGACGTGTTTTATGTTGATGCTGTTTACATACTGATGGTATTGTATTGTATTAAATAAAAACAAGAACAAAACTAGAATTGGAGAATTAGATATATTAAGAAAGGCTGGAAAAACTGCATTTGTTTTCTAACTATTCAAATATGTTCATAGCCACTAAAAACTGCTATCTGCTAAACTGTTAATTAGCAGGAATATACAACTGATAACAGGTCATCCATTGAGAACTGAAGAAAGGTGATTTCACATACAACCGGGTAAAAAATAAAAAGTGTGGAATTAAGTTATTTTTAGATCCTATTGGCATTGTTAAAAGATGCCTGGATTTTCTTTAGGAAAAAGAGAACATGATGTGGAACAAAGAAACATTGATCATAAGGGTATAAGTGAGAACCCTGTTATACAAAATAGTAGCAGGTAAATTGTGCCATTGCCAACATATAACAAAAATGAACTATAAGACAAAAAAAAAAATTAATGTGATCATCAGTTGTCAACTAAGCAGGGATGGAGCACAGAGCACCTCCATCCTGAAGCCCATGGATCAGCACAGCTAGGCCTTCACAGAGCCAGGAGATTAGCATAACAGCCAAGGGAAGTTGAATGACAGCTAACAAGCTGGGTGGGGCAGAGCTATGATGGGAGTATTTATACCGGCCGGTCTCTCAGGTTTGGGTAGGTTTTTTCTTTCTTTTTCAGATGGATCCTGTCTAAGAATTCCTTACAGGTGTTCATGTGGTAGTGAGGGAAAGCGGCAGGAGTGGATGGCATCCCCTGGGCCTTTTAGTGGGCCCACGGTGGTTCCGGAGCGATGGCCTGCATGGCGGACGAGGCCTCCCCAACGTTTGAACCCCGGTTCAGAGGAGGAGCCCATCTCCAGGAGATGCTCCTGTGGCAGACGGTTCCGGAGCAGGCCGCGTGTTCGAGGCAGCGGTAAAAGAGCTGGGCCTGAGGTGTCGGCTGCGGAGGTCCCTGGCAGGCGGCGTTGCTGGAGTGGATCGGGGACAAGAGGCAGCATGTCTCTGTCTCCCAGGTCAGGCTGCGCCCAGTCTGCTGGCGGCTGGGAGGAAAGGTCAGGTGCTGAGGACGGTGGGCTCTGGCATGGCTGGGAGTGCCGCCAGGTCTGCAACCAGATGCCCCTGCTGCTCTCGGTGAGTCGGGCCCCACGGGCCTTGTATCCTTGGGGAGTGTGGGGCAGGATGTAGGTGCCCAGGGGCATGGACGGAAATGGGCCATGGGGGGTCCAGGCAGCAGGAAGGAGTCTGGTATGGCCCCAGGCTGGGCTCGGTCAGCTGCGATGGAGGCCAATGTCACAAGTGGGGCTAAGTCAGCTCAGGCAGGGGCTAGTTCAAGCAGCCAGGCTGGGATAGGACATAACAGTACTACGGACATGGGGTGCCAGGCAGGCTTGACAGGCAAGATAGGAGCCCTGATAGCGGGCATGTGGCCCAAATGGGGCCTTGGGGGCACAGCACGGCCCGCGCGGGGTCAGGTGGGAGAAGGTGCGTATGGCTACATGGAGTAAGGCAGTTGGATAGGCAGGATTGGAGGAGTCATGCTGTCCGGGAGTGCAGGGAGCACCGCTCTAGGATGAGGAATAGCGGGTCATCAGGTGTCTCAGGCCATGCTACTTTTCATTAGCGTTCCAAGTATAAGACCAGGCGCAGCGAGGATAGACGGTCCATGGTGGGTCGGGTATGGGGTCCACCGACAGGGGGGAGTGGAGTGGCAACAACGGTTCCGGTGGCTATGGCCAGCAGTGTTCAGGGCGGGACTACGGTGACTTCACTCAGGTCGGGGACATTGGCGGTGGTCAGCGAGCGTGCGGAGTTGACAGGTGAGATCCCTGAGGTAGCCAGGCAGAATGTATATGTGTCATTTGCTGGGCCTTTGGGTTGTCATCTAAAATCGGAAGTGAAGGAAAAGATTTGGCGGGGCAAATTCCTTGAGATCTTCTCGCTCATTTCTTTGGATGAATATCTTGATCTGAAGGTGTAAGATAAGAAGGATGCCAAGAAAGAGAAGGAAGAAAAGATACGGAGGTACCGGAAGATACGTAAGTCTTTTGGGAATTGGCTTCGGGCATTCTGCATTTTGGCTAGTGTTTTGGGGAAGAAATTTCCCGAGCGGTGTTCTCAGTTTTTCCATTTGGATGGGATCTGGGAGGCTTATTTCACTTATAGGGGCTTAGCATGGAGGAAGTATGATGATCAGTTCCGTCAAAGGTTGTCAGCTAATCCCAGGATGCGGTGGGACCAGATGGACCTACCTTTATGGATGAAACTGATGATGGCTCAGAAAGCTGCATCCTTTCAGGGTGGGGCCGGCGTGGGATCAACCTCCTCTTCGTCGCCAGTCAAAAGAAAGGGTTCCGTTGGACATTTAATGAAAGACAATTCAAGTGGGGTGCCTCATGTAAGTTTAAGCACATATGTTTGGGCTGCGGGGGGCCCATGGCCTGAACAGGTGCTTCAATCAGGGAAAGTCTGAATCTACCAGTGGAGCCGGGGGTGCGGTGGCGCCATCCACCTCCACTAGGAGCAACCCTGGTGAAGGTCGGCGCCATGTTGCCTTTGTTAAGCTGTTAGGGTAACCAGGGTGATGCATAGTTATTGTTGGATGGCTTTTCAAAAGGGTTTTGTATTCCTTTCAAGGAAAAAGGTTTTGGGTCGATTGTGTGCCAAGTTGAAGTCGGTCACAGAGCATCCAGAGGTGGTTCAAGATAAATTGGCTAAAGAGGTTGGTGGGGCCATTCTCACAACCTCCGTTGGCAGACTTATGGATTTCACCTTTGGACGTGGTGCATAAGAAAGAACCGGGTAAGTTCCCCTGATCCATCATTTGTCATATCTGAAAGGTTCTTCAGTGAATGATGACATTCATATGGCCCTGTGTTTTGTCTCCTAAGCATCATTTGACAAGGTGGTTGAGTTGGCTCGGAAGGCAGGACGTGTGGCTTTGATGGCGAAGGCTGACGTGTAGTCGGCTTTTCGATTACTGCTGATTCATCCAGATTGTCATCATCTGTTAGATTGCGTGTTCGATGGGGCTTATTTTGTGGACCTTCGCTTGCCTATGCTCCATTTCATGTTCCTACTTCGAACAGTTTAGTACCTTTTTGGGGTGGGTGGTGAAGGAATCTCGATGACTTCTTGTGTGTGGGCACTGCCGAGTTGGACTGTTGTGGCCATACCTTGCGGTCTTTGGAATGGGTGGCTCATTCTATGGGGTACCCCTGGCAGTCAACAAGATGGTGGGCCCTACCACTTGTCTCAGTTTTCATGGTTTGGAGATTGATTCGGTGGCAGGGGAATGTCGGCTGCTTAGAGATAAGTTGATTGCATTTCAGGTTCTCGTGGTGCATGATAGAGGGTCCAGAAAGGTTACGTTAAGAGAGCTGCAGTCTTTGATAGGCAGTCTTAATTTTGTGTGTATAATAATTCCTATGGGGAGAGTTTTAGACAGTATTTTAGCAAGGGCAACTTGTGGGGTCCGGTCTCTGCGTCACTTTGTCAGGGTCTCGGGGGCCATGAAGGCGGATTTGTGGGTCTATGAATCGTTTTAATGTGATTTCACGGACGGGTCTTCTTTCGTGAAGCAGCAGCTTCTTCGGAGGATACTGAGTTGTTCACGGATGCTTCTGGGAGCATATGGTTTGGGGCATATCTGGCAGGCAGGTGGTGTGCTGCTCAGTGGCCTGAGGCTTGGAAAGCAAGTCCTCTTATACATAATTTGGTGTTTCTTGAGTTGTTCCCGTTGGTGGTGGCTTTGGCGTTGTGGGGGGAGGTGTTGCAGGACAGGAAAGTTATCTTTTTTACAGACAATATGTCGGTGGTTCATGCAGTTAACCGCTTATCCTCATCTTCGGTCCCGGTGGTACGCTTATTATGGCTATTTGTATTGTTTTAATATTGTTTTTCGAGCGCATCATGTGCCTGGTTTGTTAAAGGAGGTGGCTGATTCCTTGTCTCGTTCACAGTGGGAAAGGTTTTGGATAAAGGCTCCTGGGGCGCAAAAGGAAGGACAGGCCTGTCCGGAGGGTATGTAGCGGCTCGAGACGGCATGCTTGGAGGATTCATAAGGAATTCTTTGGCGCCTGGCACGTGGGCTGCTTATGTAAAGATTTGGGATGCCTGGGACAATACACGGGGTGTCACAGTCAAGGGAGGGACGATTAGATACTTTACTGTGGTACCTATGCCGTTTGTTTGCACAGTGTTTGTCTCCATCTGTGATCGACAGGAATATGGCGGCAATATTTCTGTTCAAGCTGAATGGTTGGGAGGACATTACAAAAACATTTTCTCATTCGTCAAGCCTTACAGGGCTTTAGGAGAGGTAAGAAATCGGTGGATACTAGAAGACCGGTATCTTTTGAAGCCCTGCAGCGCTTAGTAGGTGTGCTGTCGGCTGTGTGTTCATCTCCTTTCGAGGTGGGGTTATTCTCGGCTGCCTTCTTGTGGGCGTTCTTCAGGGCCTTTTGGATTTGGGTATCTGGTGACTACATCTCGGGCAGGTGTTGGGGGGGGGGTTCAACACTTGGACATCGAATTACGGGTGGTGATTCGGTTGGGCTGTACAAAGATGGATGTATTTAGTAAAGGTTGTTTGGTAACACTATGTTCCATGCCTGGGTCAGGAGTCGGTCGGTTTCATGTGCATCGCACAATGTAGAGTTTTGCCTGGATGTCCTGGGTTGTTTTTTGGGGATGGATCTGCTTTGTCGAGGTTCCAATTCTTTCTGGTTTTTCGATTGGGTTTGACAGAGCTGGGTTTGGATCCTATGCAGTTTGGGACCCATCCCTTCCAGATAGGGCCGGCAACAGAGGCGTCCTGCTTGGGTTCAGGTGAGGAACTGGTGAAATGTATAAGTAGGTGGAAGTTGGTACATTTTAAGTCCTACTTACGTCCCGAACACTTGGTCTAATGGATGTGGATTTGTGGGGTGGTGTTTGGTGTTATGCCTTGTCACTGATTCTGTTTTTGTTTTAGGTTGGGTGGCCTAATTGGTGGGCCAATCTACTGGGTGCAGAAAAGAGCTGCAGTTCAGAAACAAGAAGTGCAGCTGGGTTTCCTCTGGAGTTGGTGACACTGGAGTGGTTTGGTTTTCAGTGTTTTGGTTGGCAAGGCATTAGTAGGGAAATTTTCTGGAGGGTGGCCAGGGGCAACGTTCCGGATGTACTGTTAATTGAGGTAATGATCTGGGCATGGTCCCAAAAAAGGAATTGGTCAGATGGATGAAGAGGGATGTGGACCGGCTACGGGAGCTGGCTCCAGGTGTGGTGGTGGAGTGGTCCGAAATGGTTCCTCGGTTTCACTGGCGACATGCCAAGGACCCGGCTGTGGTGGCTAGGTGTCTGGTACAAATCAATAAATTGAGGACGGTCTTTATTAGGCGGTTTGGTGGAGTGGCAAAGAGGTACAGGGAATTGGAAGGCATGCTTCCTGGGTACTTCAGGAGGGATGGTGTACATCTGTCAGAAGTGGGGTGTGAACTGTTTATTTTGGGCCTTCAACATGCCCTGTTTAGGTTTGGTGGGGGGCACTCAGGAGCTCTAGGTGTCAAGTCCTGAGCTGTGGAGGTGAATGGCCAGGTTAAATAAGGGGGTAGATGGAGGAGGAAGTGGGCATCGGGAGGTTTAGTGTGGATTAGGCAGTGTTACACTTAGTTGGTAGGTTCGAGCCCGTCGGTAGCTCTGAACCTGGGGGTGTAGCAGTGTCTTGGTACACCCCTACAATTGAACTTGTAGGTGTAGTGGTGTCTTGGTACACCCCTACAATTTAATCTGGTGGAAATTTGGTCATATTGGATGGCCAGTTTCTGTGTTAATATGTTAATTAGATTTTATTTATTGTTATTACTGTGGGGTCATTGCCCGGGGTATGTTATATATATGGGGGGATGTTGGCTTTAATAATATTTGTTGGCAATGACCCTATTTGTTATTTCTTAATTAATTAAATAATAATTAATAAAGCTGTGGACTAATATTTCCAACAGTGTAACCTGTGTCCGTGTCTTAATGGGGTTGGGGGTAAGGTTAGCGCTTATGCCGGTAGATTTGACTGTGCGCCTGTAATGCCTGACACTCTGTGTAGCATGGCCTCACACTGCAGTGGTAGATGAGCTTTATCATCCTCTACCTGTTCTAAGAAAGTAACTCTCACCATGCTGGGACAGGAGGAGGCTCACAGCATGCTGAGAGCAGCTTTCTGAGT